CCTACAGCTATCATAATAATATATTCGAATTAAAATGTATGTGAACGGTGTAGATGTATTTTTTTAGTTATGGCCAGGTGCAAATGCCGCATTCTCAAAGTCAACTTATCTATATATATAAAAATAAATTGCTGTCCGTTAATCTCGCTAAAACTCGAGAACGACTGGACCGATTTGGCTAATTTTGGTCTTCAATTATTCGTGGAAGTCCAGAGAAGGTTTAAAAGGTGAATAAATAATATGAAAATGCTCGAAATTATATAAAAATAATAATTTTGTTTTTCTTTCGATATGTCCCCCGTCGGAAGGATTCCTTTTGTTGGTTTTAAATTTATTTTACACAAAAGTTTAGGTCTTTTATTTATCGATTGAGGCAAAACGAAGTCTGCCGGGTCAGCTAGTTGTGAATAAATGTAAATAAATAAGTTTAAAACTAACTAGATGAATACGAGTTATAAATATTAATCCAGTATTCGTTTCATGATGCTCAAACGGATGAATATATATTATAGGCAAGAACTTGGTTGTGCCCCATGAGCGACGGTAACCACTTGCCATTAGGTAGGCCTCTGCCTACAAAGGCAAAGGCAAGGCAAAGGTACCACAACCCTGCCTAGTTCGGCTGCAGTAATGCATTTCGGTTTAAAGGATGGTGCAGTCGTTGGACTATAAATCTGAAATTTAAAATTTATGTCTCAAGGTGGGTGACGACACCTACCTTGTAGGTGTCTTTAGGCTCCGGTAACCACTTAACCCCTGTTGGGCCCTGAGCTGGTCCACCCTACTAAGCAATTAAAAATTATGTCATCTCATTTCGGAGGCCAAGATCCATCTCTGGTCACTAAGCCAGAATTGGAAGTTGGTACTGTAAGTATAATCGTTTCATACCCGATCCTGTCGACCGAATGGTAAACAGTCGACGTCGCCCAAAACACGTCATTACGGATCCTCCCGATCCATTAACGGTGCTTTTAGGTACCTCAAGCACCGGTCACCGTCCTCGTCGAACCCGTCGCTTGCGACGAAGGGCTCGACGTGCGAATTAACCCATAGACACAGCACACTGAGTTTCTCGTCGGATCTTCTCAGTGGGTCGCGTTTCCGATTCGGTGGTAGATTCTGCGAAGCACTACTCGTGCTAGGGCCAGTGTTAGCAACACTCCGGCTTGAGCCCCGTGAGCTCACCTACACGTTAGGGTGAAACTGAAATAGCCTCTCAAGGCTATCAGCATAGGTAGGGAAAAAATAATAATAATCGTTTTTCGAAATGTGTAGTTCACACGCACTGCTGTTACGAATTTTACAATACACTAGACGATGACCGAGCTTTGCTCGGTATTTTTGTCCGACTTTTTAGGAAACTCCTCAATATATTTACGAACATACACCAAATTTTCAAAAATTTACTGGGATGGCATAGTGAGAACTTTAATTTCTTTAAATTTCTCCCTCAGGGATTCCCTTGAGTGTATGTTATAAATAGCACGTATAGCTCTTTTCTGCAGAATAAATATCATTCCTACATCGGCCGCATTGCCCCATAGCAAAATGCCATAGGACATGACACTGTGGAAGTAACTAAAGTAAACTAAACGAGCCGTGTCCGCGTTTGTTAACATTCAATTATTTTTTTTGCTTATGCTGCAGAGCTGAGCTTACTCGCCAATTTATAAATATAAGGTCCCCACTGCAGTTTGAAGTCCACTGTTATACCAAGAAATACGGTTGACTCAACGAGCTCCAATGATTCCTCAGAAACAATTACATTACTATCTACTTGTCTCACATTTAAAGGTGATTTAATACATTTTAAAGTAAATTTAATACATTTACTTTTTTTACTAATTAATAATAGGTTATTGATACGGAACCAATGAACCGCACACGAAATCGCATCATTCACTTCGTCATAGACTTGCAATTGTCGGTTAATTTTAAATAATAAAGATGTATCATCTGCGAATAGTACGACCTCGTGTCGGGACTCAATAAAACTAGGTAAATCGTTTATATATATTAGAAATAAAAAAGGACCCAAAATGGAACCCTGAGGTACACCCATTTTCAACAAGGTGCCTGAAGATCTATTACCTTTCACATCTACTGTTTGTATCCTTCCTGATAAATAGGAAGTAATGAGTTCCAATGCACCATCCCTAATACCATAGTGATGTAGTTTCCTCACCAATGTTTCATGTTCAACACAGTCAAATGCTTTGGATAAGTCACAAAAATTCCAAGACAATCATGCGATTCCTCCCAAAATTGTAAGATATTTTTGATTAGATAAGCATCTGCATCAGTTGTAGAGCAACCCCTGGTAAACCCGAATTGTTTATTATGAAGCAGGTTATTTGAATTAAAATGTTCTAAAAGTTGTGTCAAAATAATTTTTGCAAAGATTTTACTCAACATAGGGAGTACTGAAATAGGTCTATAGTTAGAGGGGTCATCAGTACTACCAGATTTAAAAAGAGGAATCACTTTACTATGTTTCATTAAGTCAGGAAATACACCACACTTAATAAATCATTAAAAATACTAACAAGATGAGGAGCAATAATGTCTATTACAGACTTCAAAACCTTTACTGATATTCCCCACAAGTCAGCTGTATTTTTTACATTAAGGCTATTAAAACTTTTTTACTATATATCGTTTGAATTAATTTTCTTAAATTTAAAAATTTCATTACATTTGTTGAAATGGTTATGCAATAATATTTCAGCTGCTGTGGGGAATGAATTTAGAGAAGTGGTAGTTGAAACTGGAATGTCAGAGAAAAACTTTTCAAAAGCACTAGCCACATCTTCATGACTAGTTACCAATTTATCATCTATTTTTAATGAGAATTCTTGGTAGCTATTTCTGACTTTTCCACTTTCTCTACCAATAATGTTCCAAGTCATCTTTATCTTGTCAGGGGATTTTTTTATGAAATCACTTAAATGTAAAGATTTTGCCGCTAAACAAATTTTTCTAAATAGTTTTGAATAGTTCCTGACATATTGATGAAATGTTTCATCATTATTATAAACTTTTTCAGAGTACAGATCATACAACTTTTTTCTACTTTTCTACACTCCGGTGGTGGCCCACTCGCTGAACACTGTTTTGTTTTTTAATGTTACCATTTGAGGAATAAATACATCAGTAAAGACCAAATTAATTCTCTCAAACATATTCTGGTATGACAAATTTGGGTTTTTGTTATAAATAATTTCTGAATGTTCTTGCTTAATATTATTTCTAAACTTCTCAATTCGTTTTTTATTAATAGGAACAATCATAAGAGTATTGTTATCTTTAGAATTTATATTAGATTCAAAAGACACAATTAATAATTTTCTAATTAGTAATTTTTTTGTTAATCGCTGTTACATTTAATTTTGTAAATATGTTATCTAAACATGTTGCCGATATGGTCGTTGTTCTAGTAGGCTCTAAAAATAAGTTTAACAATGAATCAGTGAGCCACCGCGAATAGCGTTATCTCTGCAGATGGAACTTGACAACTGGTGATCATTAAAATTAAACAATAATTCATCGTTTATAAACCAGTGCTCAGTGACACAGAATCCATTAATATTATGTATATTTAAAAACATCTCAATTTCTAGCACTTTACTCATCATCCCTTGTAAATTTTGATGCACCAAATTGAATATGTTAATAATTGAAACGTTAACGTCTTGTGATGGGTATAATCTAGTTGTTGTATTAATAGATTTGTAATTGCAAGAGTGTGACTTCTTTGTCTTACTAATTAATTTAAATTGGAAGCAGATTGCAAAGTCTTAAAGCATGTCATATTTTTTCCTGCTCAATAGAAGCAGGTATTTTTTAGCTAAATTTATAGCTAGGAAATTGTGTATAAAATACTGTAGCGATGTTGCTACTTGTCTAAAATTTGTATAATTTAATTTAAACATGTCATTTTTTGATGTCCTTAAATATCTAAATTTTATTATATTATTAATGTCTATTAATCTAAATGCATATTTTTTGGATGTCAAGATGCAGTTATTATTATCAAAAGCATTATAAATTGCATTATTAATATTAAATCTAATTTTGTTTTCTGCCGGCAAGTCCTGCAAGTAAGGAAAGGTGAACATAGTAATTTTCTTAATATTTAACATATTAACTTGTTCAATATAATGTAAAATTTGTTTTTGGTCAACGTTTTCTCTCCTCCCTAACATAATTATTATGACTGTATTTAGGCAATGTGTGGTATTTAAAATCTTATCAAATATTTGTGCTGGATTAGCACCTGGCATACAGTAATTAATCACATGTTATCCCAAACACAGGACATGTAATGCCACACCCATCTGTTTCCCCAGCTCATCACTAAAAATTTTAATTTTGTCTTCTCTAGAAACTCGTGAAGATGCAGTAGTAGGTATAAAATAGCGCCTTAAGCTACAGGAGTTCAGGAATATTCAGGAGAGTTTAGGAATATTTATTTCTTTGGCTGCCCTTGATATATACCCAAGTTTAAATAAGTAACTCCGACTACTAGTGCATCAAATATAAACAACGTGAGCAGGTGAAACTGAGAAGCAATGAAGTACTGAATTACTGAGAAGGAATGAATTACTGGTGGTAGGACCTCTTGTGAGTCCGGACAGGTAGGTACCACCGCCTTGCCTATTTCTGCCGTGAAGCAGTAATGCGTTTAGGTTTGAAGGGTGGGGCAGCCGTTGTAACTATACTGAGACCTTAGAACTTATATCTCAAGATGGGTGGCGCATTTACGTTGTAGATGTGTATGGACTCCAGTAACCACTCAACCTCAGGTGGGCTGTGAGCTCGTCTAACCATCTAAGCAAAAAAAAGTAAGCGGTCGGATTATTGGTTCGCCGATGAAACCCAGACATATAAAAACATTCACAACGTTACGGTCTAACTTTAAGGTATCTACGCGATATGAAGTGTGTAGTTGGCCAGTTTTTAAGGTCACAGATCACATCATTCGTTGCGATAAAGCGCTAGCGTCTATACGCCTGTTCTCAGCGTTACCTGATTAGCGTTAGTGTAATTTAATTTACGTTTGGACTTAAAACCATATCGAAATGTATTTAACGTTGAAACAAAAGCTGTTAGAAGTTCCCGAAGGCACGGTGCAGCAGATACAAATGTTGTACGGCTACGATGAAAGAAAAATGAATGAGGCCGTCGATATTCTGGAGGAATGGCTGAAGAAACAGAATCATTTCCTGAAGAAAGATTTTCGTGAGTAGCTCGTTAACTATATTTTCTAATTTACCTAAATATTACACAACTTATTCATTTATTTTTTTGGTAATTTTTTCTTTGGAGTCTTCGACTTAGAGCTTCAATTACCGCCACGAATCTTTGTAAGTGGAAAGTTAATTTTACAGCCAGGACCGAATTAGTTCGAGGAACCGAGAGGATTAATTAAAAGAAAGAAAATAAGATTCGACATGTTTCGAAGTCGTCGTGGCCTAAAGGATGAGACGTCCGGTGCATTGGTGTTGAGCGATGCACCGGTGTTCGAACCCCAGGCGAGTAACAATTTTTCTAATGAAATACGTACTCAACAAATGTTCACGATTGACTTCCACGGTGAAGGAATAACATCGTGTAATAAAAATCAAACCCGCAAAAATTATAATTTGCGTAATTACTGGTTCTCTTGAGAGTCCGCGCGGGTAGGTACCACTACCCTGCCTATTTCTGCCGTGAAGCAGTAATGCGTTTCGGCTTAAAGGGTGGGGAAGCCGTTGTAACTATACTTGAGACCTTAGAACTTATATCTCAAGGTGGATGGCGCATTAACGTTGTAGATGTATATGGGCTCTAGTAACCACTTAACACCAGGTCCCATCTAAGCAATAAAAAATGAAAATTAAAAATGCTATATGTTAATTTATGAGTAGGTTTATCATGAAGAATTTTTTTGCTATACATATTTTGTTACATTACATTCGATTTAAGTAATTTCAATAACAAAATCTAAATTAAAAATGTAGGACTGCCAAAATATTTATTTTAACTTAGGGCCGTTAAAATTAGTGATATTGTAAATCATTTAAAAAACAACATTTCCGCTAACTTCCACAATAATATTCCATACGAGATTAATATCTAGAGTAATGTAGAATAATTAAAATTAAAATCTCAAGCAAAAAACAACTCTAAATCGGAGAACACAATAACACTTTTTGTTTTCATCCAACGTGCATCGCAACTGTTTAAATTCATTTTCTTTTTTTGGCAAAAACAAAACTTAACAGTCTTATGGAAATGTATTACCACCATCTTCCATGAACATCGGCAATGCTAACAATAGAATCGCGAGTTAGATGTTGAACATGAACATGATGATAAATGATGATTTTTATCTTCTTTTATTTAATTTATCTCAAAGCCTAGGTGCAGCATTTTTTTTTATTGCTTAGATGGGTGGACGAGCTCACAGCCCAGCTGGTGTTAAGTGGTTACTGGAGCCCATAGACATCTACAACGTAAATGCGCCACCCACCTTGAGGTATAAGTTCTAAGGTCTCAGTATAGTTACAACGGCTGCCCCACCCTTCATACCGAAACGCATTACTGCTTCACGGCAGAAATAGGCAGGGCGGTGGTTTACCCGCGCGGACTCACAACAGGTCCTACCACCAGTAATTACGCAAATTATAATTTTGTGGGTTTAACTTTTATTACACGATGTTATTCCTTCACCGTGGAAGCCAATCGTGAATATTTGTTGAGTACGTATTTCATTAGAAAAATTGGTACCCGCCTGCGGGATTCGAACACCGGTGCATCGCTTCAACACTAATGCACCGGACGTCTTATCTTTTAGGCCACGACGACTTCAAAGCATAATACTAGGATTACAATAGAGCTCTTTTTTTTCCTACCTATGCTGATAGCCTTGAGAGGCTATTTCAACTTCTTGACGTGTAGGTGAGCTCGCGGGGCTCCAACCGGGAGTTTTGCTAATGCTGGCCCTAGCAGGAGCAGTGCTTCGCAGAATCTACCACCGGATCGGAAACGCGACCCACTGAGAAGATCCGGCTAGAAACTCAGTGGGCTATTAACGTATTTATGGCGACGACGTCGATTCCATTCGGTCCGCAAGATCGGGAATGTATATAGCTCAATAAGGCTTTTAAGTCATTTAAATTTAACGTTTTTACTACTATTTTAACTAATGTCTCGAAAAATTAATCTACTGACCCTACTTAGTGTCTATTAAGCCTAAAACTTAGTTCACGTGTTCTTTAGGCGATGATGAAATCAGAAAATGAAGATGTTCAGAAGCTTTTAGGACGCATTTATTTATTTATTGCTTAGATGGTGGGAAGAGCTCACAGCCCACCTGGTGTTAAGTGGTTACTGGAGCCCATAGATATCTACAACGTAAATGCGCCACCCACCTTGAGATATAAGTTCTAAGATCTCAGTATAGTTACAACGGCTGCCCTACCCTTCAAACCGAAACGCATTACTGCTTCACGGCAGAAATAGGCGGTGGTACTTACCTACCCACGCGGGCTCACAAGAGGTCCTACCACCAGTTCTTTTTGTGATTAAAAGGTTACTGGTGGCCCGAAGGCCTTTTCAGTTTCACGAGGACAGGTGGGCGAGCAAATGCTCAGCCAGGAGGGGTGGGATTTGCTAACAACTGCCCGAGCGCCTCCGAAGGAGACCTAACAACTCAAGAGCATTTGCTTCGCGAATGAATCTACTACCGGATCGGAATCGCAACCCGCTGAGAAGATCCGGCGAGAAACTCAGCGGGCTGATGCATGGGTTAGGTTGCACGTCGACCTCTTTGTCGAGTTCGACGAGTACGGTTACCGGGGTCTCTAAGTCTGCTCCTAGTAGAGCTGAAGGCGTCTAATACAAAGGTTATTGGATCTGATGGATCCGTAAGGACGTGTCTAAGGCGTCGACGGTGTCTTGCTCCCGCGTGATCAGGATTCGGGGAGTAGTCAGCGGCGGCAACGATAAGGCGATTATCATGACGTATAGCCTTATCGAAGTACCGTTCCGACGCTGACTTCATGTATTTTCGGATTGATTCAAGGCTCAGGTCATCGTGTAGGTCGACGTTCCTCACGAACCACATGCTGCTCGACGGCTATCCTGCAAAAGTGGGATTGTAGGGATTGGAGGGTGTCTATGTGTGTGCGGGCCGCGTGAGCGAACACCACACTCGCGTAAGTCATGACAGGCTTTATGCAAGTTTTGTAAAGTGTCACCTTGTTCCGAAGGGACATTTTACTCCGCTTACAGATCATGGGATAGAGTCTGCCGAGAATAAATGCGGCACGGTCGCGGACTGTTTATATATGCGGGCGGAATGTCATGGATGCATCCAGGGTGACTCCTAGGTACTTGACCTTCCTGGCCCAGGGTAAAGGTTAGCCGAAGAGGGTGATCGGGGGTGTGATATTTCTCCACCTAATGCGGGAAGAAATAAGCGGTGAGTTTCCCCTTTAAAATAACACTGCTGTGCTGGGTTTCGCTGTGTTGATGTTTATGCGCCATTTTCGGAACCACTGTCCGAGGGTCAACGCCCCGCTCTGGAGTTTACTTGCGATTAGGGATTTATTTCTACTTGAGTAGTAAACGGTTGTGTCGTCAGCAAATAAGGCTAGGTGGGTCGGCGGCGACCGGGGAATATCGTTAGTAAATAAACTAAACAGGAGCGGAGAGAGAACGGAGCCTTGCGGGACTCCAGCCGTGAGTGGTCGCGTGGAGGAGCGGGTTCCCTCTACTCGATATCAAAAGGAGCGGTTCGACAAGAAGTCCCGTATGATGAGCACGAGACTGTCCGGCACGCCCATGTTAAATAGTTTGAAAATCAAACCGTTGTGCCAGGCTTTGTCGAACGCTTTTGCGACGTCGAAGAAGAGGGCTCCCGTGTAGATTAAGCCCTACGAGAATGTGCTCCGTGAGGAGGTGCACCTGTTGTACGCATGAGTGATTTCCACAGAATCCGAATTATTCATCAATGAGTATGCCCTGGGATGAGACGAAGTCTCTGAGGCGTTTGTAGAACAGATGCTCATACAGTTTGCTTAGAGACATGAGGAGGCTAATTGGGCGGTAGCTCGTCGGATAATTTTTTTGGTTTACCGGGTTTGTGTATGCCGATAACGTCCGCTTGTGAGAATTCCACCTGACGTATTTACAATTTAGGTCGCCCGCCAGAATGACAGATTTTTCCATGCCGACCAGCGCCTCGATATCACTGCTTAGAACGATCTTATCCGGTGGAAGATAAACGGACGCGATAACGATCGGCGCGTGTCCAGTTAGTGAGATTCGGCATACTGATGCTTCGATGTTAGAAAGCGCGGGGGGTCGAGTGGGACGCAGTGCAGGGCTCTTCTATAGTAAATGACGGTACCACCACCACGAGCAGTGAGCCTGTCGTTTCTAACCATGTTAAAGTTCGCGATTTTAGGGTCGCGGCGCGCGGGCTTAAGCAGGGTCTCCTGCACCAAAAATATGTCAATTTGATTGTCACGCAAATAATCACAAACCTGATCACGTTGATTTAAATCACGTTGTTAAAAACGTTGTTAAAAAATCCTATCGCTACGGATAGGGGCTTTAATCTAGTGAAGTGAGGGGAGGACGTACGTATTTAACGACGCGTATACGTCAGCGTATTCTCGCACAACGGCGATGAAGTGTTGTGCAGTGGAGGCGGCGCGTATGGCGTCACCCAAAGCATTAACGCGCTCATAGTCGATCGACTGAAAAAAGTCGATGGCTAGAGCGAGATTGTCGGACGCGGTCGGAGGGCCGGTCGCGGGGGAGGGACGAATCGCGGGGGAGGGGCGAGTTACGGAGAGAGTTGCAGCCGTGTTCGTGTACGGCAACGGTTTAACCCAGGCCGAGATACTGGGCACCGTCGCTGGGACGAAGGCAGACTTAGCCTTTGGCACAGAAGGTGCCGAGGCCTTGTCAGGGCCGGAAGCTCGGAGACGGTTTTGGCGGGCAACGCATCGATTTATTTTTGGGGCTCGGGGGCATCCACGGTAATTCGCAGGGTGACCCTGTGTACGGCACAGGACACAGCTAGGCGGTTCCGTTGCGGTTTTTTGATCGCGAGTACAAATGCTCGTGGCATGATCGCCCAAACACTTGACACATCTAGGGCGCGCGTGACAATTACGGAAAGAGTGCCCGTACAACTGACAGTTGTGGCACTGGCTCGGAGTGCCTTTTTTATGGAGGGTTTCGAC